TGTTCAAACTTTTTCGAAATTTAATTTTTAAAAAATTTTTTCACTTTGATATTTGTAATTGCTATTTTCTTCTTCATTATTGCTAATGTTAAATCATATTATAAATTTATTTTTAAGCTTTGGATTATCCAATTTTTTTAATGATTGATTTAAATTAAGCGAAATGATTTGTTGATAAACAAAAAAATAATCTAATGTGATTAAATTAAATGTTATACCAATTATCAGTGGAATATAAGAAAGAAAGATAAATAATGTCACCAGAAATGATGGATATATGTGTGCCTGTTCAATTTGTTTCGTTTATATAAATTAATTATTATTAAAACAAAAACAACAGACGTCATTCATATCGAAATGGATCAATAAAATCGAACAGTCAATATCAAATAATCAATCTTGAATTTAATATTTGATAGTAGCAAAAAATTATGATTGCATAATTTCAATTGTCCAATTTTTAATTATCTTAGTGTAATTAAAGTTCACATATACTTCTTTAAATAATTATTAGAAAGGCAATGTATAACTTTACTATTTTGCGTTATTTTTATGCAAAAAAAAAAAATTAAAAAAAATTTGATTGTTAATATTATTTTTATCTAAAAAAAACTAGGGGAAAAAAAAAACCAATGAAAAAATCTACAGGAAGAAATTACCTATCTTTAGCCACCAGATCAGGTTCTATTGCACACGGCGTTACTGTCCGTTCTTCAGTAGGACTTACAGCACGTACGCTTGGATTTGGTCGTACGGACGCTGGAAGTGCAGAATGAGCTCGTGTTATTACTTGATCATTTCCTCTAAATCAAAAATTTGTTATATCGTTTTTGTAAATTTGAGCAAAATAATCAGAATTATAGAATTTTATATAAATTTCAAAACTAAACATAAATCAATTCAAATTTAAGTACTAATCTATTGAAGAAGAAATACGTATTTTCATATATTGATAAAATTATGAAAGAAAATATTACTTGCTGCTTGTGATAATTGTACAGTTATGGTATAATATTGTACTAAGTAAACATTTTTTAAAGGGTAAAACTATCCCTTGTGCTATATATTTGTGTCATTTTAACGCAAAAAGTACATTAAAAAACTTTATTTATTTTACTAAATTAATTGATTTTTGATATTCCTAATGGAAAAAAAAACCCCATAAATTAGGATATTTCTATTATTTTTTACAATGTTAGAAAAAAAATTCACATTATTAAATTTAAAAAAAGTATTGAAAATTTTTACTGAGAAGAAAAATAAAAGCGCCAAAAAAATGAAAGATAATTACAAAGCTATTTTCATTTGCAATTTGAAATATCTCGATACATTAATTAATAATATAAATGATAATACAATACTTTTTGTTGATGAAAAAAAAAATGAAATTTTAAGATTTACCTTGTTTGTTCGGAGTAATAATGATCAGTAGCGTTCATTTTTTCGTCTAAATTAATACGTGGTTTTGGTGGTGGCAATGGTGGCATTCCACTTTTTTCCTACAACAATTATCAATTAACATCATATAGTTTAAGAAAAAATTTTTGATTAATAGATAATTAAGAAAAGTAAAAGCTTGGAATTGATAAAAATTCTATTTGTGAAAGTTAATTAGAGAAATTACCTTAGGCTTTTATTGCCTAATTAACTATTGATCCCACCTATTAAATTTGCCATTTTTATCAATTTTTCATTTGAAAAAAAAAATTTAAGTCTAATAAAAAAGAAGAAAAAATATTGGAAAGAAATATAGAAAAGAAGAAACATGAAAAAATGTGTGATATTAAACAATATGTTAAGAGGGAGCCTAAAAATTATCATTATATAATTTTTATTTACCTGATTCTATTATTGTCTTATCACGACTATTAATTAGTCCTATCATTAAATTTTATGAAATTATCATTATGTTATATAAATTTTAATTAATCAGATCCAAAAAAAAAAAAAAATTTAGTGGATGGTATTTGCTTCATGGAAGTTTTAATTGTTACAAATGTAAATCCATATGATAAAAGCAAAGCTTGTATAAATTTACCTTGTGATTTCTAAAAGTTAAAACTGAAAATAAAAAAGATTTAAACAATCAGTCCAGATGAGAAATTTGAGATAAAATTTAAGTTGATGAATTTTTTCAAACCTTTCTTTTTTGAAAATTTCAATAATTATTTGATTAGTAAACAATGTAAAAAGTAAGACAAACAACAAAAATGTAATCGGTGACTAATTTTTTTCGTTTTTTTTTTTGCTAGAATAAAACTAAAAAAATATTTAGTGTTTAACAATTTTATTTTCTAAAATGCTCAAAAATATTAATTTAAGCTTACCAAACAGAAGAGGAAAAGTATTGAAAAGAAGATATTAAAAAAAAGAAGAAGAAATATGAAAAAGAAAAAAAAAAAAAGACCATTTAGATTCAATCAGAATTTATGTTGAAATGAATCCTTCTCCCACGTCCAAAAAAAAACAAAATAAAAAAAAAATAAAAAATAAAAGTCATATCGAAGATTGATGAATTGATTTTCAAGCAGATGTCTTATTGGATCTTTTTTCTCTCTCTCTCTCTTCCTCTCTCTCTCTCTCTCTCTCTCTCTCTCTCTCTCTCTCTCTCTCTCTCTCTCTCTCTCTCTCTTTCCCTTTCCCTCATTAAATTCTTTCAATTTGAAAAAGCTAGTAAAATTATTTGTACATTTTGTAATAGTAATTTATTAAGAATGCAAAGAAAAAGAAATTTCAAGTTTGGTTGCAACTTTTTAAAATATACAAAAATTTAATTCATTACTGTATTAGCAATTATTATTATATTCTAAATAAATTAGGGGGAAAATTTTTTTTTTCCAATTTTAAATATTTAATCATATTTGCTAAGCAACAAATTGAATAAGTAATCTTAGGGGTAGAAAAAAAAACGATAGCAACAAAATTGAATAAAAATCATCAGAAATAAAATACAATCACA